TGGTATGAGAGGAGTTGCGGATAAGAGATGGGTACCCCAAAGCGTAACAGACGGACGGACGGACGGACGGACGTACAGACGGACGGACGGAATTAACGATTACTATATACCCTCCCGCTTTTCAAGCGGGGGGTATAAATATACGATAATTTCAATATTTCAGTATTTTAGTATTTTCTAACAAACCACAGCACATCAAATTACAATCCGTTGACTGGGAGGTACATGTAATAGGTCTACACAGAAGTTTATGCCCTGGTTTTCAAGATTTATTGATTTAAATTGTTTATTTTTTATATATATATTTTACTGCTTAATTTTAAAAACTCATAGGCCTATTTTTTTCAAATCAATTTATTAAAATATCAACAAGGGTTTCTTAAAGAAACTTTTCATTAACATGAGTAAGTCTCCAAATTATGGCTTCTCGTAATTAACTCCTCATAGTCACCACCCCATATGACACGCGCTCGAGACTCCAAAAGGATGCACCGCGTCTTCTTGTTTGTTTAATGATTAACACTTATGATCAAGTTAACTTACTAATGGATTGTCTTTCTTTAATTACCGTCAATTTGCCGTCTTGGAAGATTGCAAATGTATCAAATTAATATTCTTTTGCATTTCATAGATATATAACAGCATAAATTATAAATATATTTAACTAAAATATTATATTTCTGTTTGGGCCGAGGTGTCTTTTATGTGAGCCGAGGTGTCTGCAAATTTGGGCCGAGCCGTCGCAGCCGAGGTGTCAATGGGCCGAGGTATCGTTGGGCCGAGGTGTCGTTGGGCCGAGCAGTCTGACATTCGTTGAGGCCTACATGGAAGTAAATTAAGTATGTTATATCACTCAAATTTCCCTTTCATTTCTTCCAATATATGTACTAAAGTCTAAGAATTTTATATATCCAACTTTTCAAAATGGCGTCAGAACAAAAGTTGTCTCCGATAGTGAAGATTTGTTGTTGCCAAATAATATTACAATTATTTACCGTAAAAAATTAACAAAAATATACGTACACTAATCCTTGGTTGTTGTTCATTGCATTTATCACAGTCTCAAAGACACTGGGTGGCGAAAACATCGTTAACTTTTCACATTTACCAGCTGATTACACCTTCTTCTTCGTCCTTCTCAATCCTCGAAAAATGGCGCCTCTGTAAACTGACCAATGAAATAAAGCGCCTGCAGAGCGATGCAGGATGGGAAAAAATTATGATTAAGAATGATTATGACATCTTATATTAGAATTTAACATGTTTAATGAAGTTTTTCCCTGTTCATGAAATAAAACGGGGGCTCCTAAATATTTTTGAGGATACGATGTGTAGGCCTAGTATATTTAGATAGAAAGCGTTTATTAAAAAAAAAAATATGCGTGTGCCACTTAGAGAAAAAAAAAATGTTTCTGGCGTAACAACTCAAATTATTTGAATTTGGGATGGGGGTTTCGGGGCTTGGTTGTAGGTATAGTGGCCGTCCTAATTGAAAGTATACCCCCCCCCCAACTCCCCGCTACTTTTAACGGTTGTAATTATGAATTTATAATGTCACATCAAAACGATATTTTTTTTAAATTGTGAACTTTCCACATGAATCCTAAAAGGCATGAAAATAAGCTACAATTGTGATGATTGAAAAGTTCGGTGTTTAACATGTTTAGAAATTAATTGCTAATTAAAAACACCGCTTTTAGTAGAAAGAATCAGCCTGATTGAGGTATGGTAGCATAGGATACACTTGACAAGTGAAAATTAAGACAAAATACCATCAGATCTAAGTTTTTTTTTTCTTGTTTGGATTAAAAAACTCATTGAACTCCTTCCTTTTTTGGTTTAAGATTTTGAGCCTGCTATCAATATATATTATTACTGGTGGAGGTGATTGCTGATTTGCTGAACTTTTCTCTATTTGCTATATTGTATTTGAAACATATTGGCCTTTAGTTAAATAAATTTCCCGCATCATTTGAACAAGTAGTATTGTTTAATGTATCAGAATGTCAAAAACCTTTTTTTTTAAGGAGAGTTATTACAAGGTGGAACAAAACTAATATCTAGTCAAAGGCAGGAAAAATTAATTCAATATCTTAGTGGTGACGGATATAATTGGGTCATTGGAAAGATTGTGTCAAAAGTCGATAGATACTCGTTAATGTGAATGGCTGTGAGTTTATATGCACACAGCTTTAGCTGGTCCCGCCCTGTATCTCTTCTCATGTACTTTTTTCTCGTTCAGGAAATTTGGTAAAGTATGCTAGTAAAAAAAATTCCCGGTAAGTTTATTACCCAAACGGAAAGTACTTTCCTACAGGCCTGTAGTTTGAGTCTAGTCAAATTTAAGAACACGCATACTTTTTTAAAGAGTAATTTACAGCATGTAGAAAAGAAATAAAGGAGTGGAAAACTTAGATAAAGAAATGTTTGTAGTTGTATTAAAAACCTTCACATCTTTATATAAAGACATCAACAGAAAATGCACAGTAATAAAATTACACACTTAATTCTTTTAATAGATTGCCTTAGCATGCACTATACATCAAAAGCCGCTGTTTTTATGGAAAACAAAATACAATGTAATGTAAAATTTTATAGATTTTTCTTTAGTTACATGTAGAGCAAATGGCCTTTGGAGGGGAAAAATGTTTTGTAAAATATACATGTGCATTTAGGACCTTTGTTTCATGCGAAAAGTGCAGACGTTTACTACAAAGGGATCTGCGAACATATTTAAATTCAAAAGAAATTAAAAAAAACAACCTATTTTTATATGAATATTTTTCTGATCATATTTTAAACATTATTTTATAGATGTCTTTGTAGTTGGATTACAAATTTAACACAAAACATCAACAAGACTATTAAGTACCGTTTTTTAAAATGTCATTGATCTATAAAGTGATTATGATTTAATATAATTATACACGACGAGAATTTATATTTTTTCTATACCTATAGAAAGTTACTTAATATTTAAACAGGATAATTTTATTTTAAATCAGTAATGAACATTGAAATCAAAATTCTAAAAAGTTTGCTCTTTCATTGAACTTCTAAAAATAAATGTAGGTTATTTTTTAAATAAATTATGTTCTCTTGTATAATTTATGATTATTTACAAAAATTGTAATGTTAAACAAATTTGCGGAGACTGTGTGTGTACATGCTTGACAACAGGCCATTGTTCCCTGTAGGTAGAAAACCCTCTCAAATCACATAGAATATACAAAAAATACACAGTGACAGGTGTCCCGTCTCCAGGTGTCTTCGCGGCACGTGTCTCCACCTGATATGGCACGTGAGGACAGTTGCCCGTAGTAGTTACACAGGCCGTACCAATGTGCTTTTTAGGGGGGGGGGGGGAGAGGAGGCTTCCCAAGAAAAAAAAATGACACGCAAAAAAAGTAAATAAAATAAAAAAAAATAAATAAATAAATTTAAAAAAAACTCACAAAAATGGTATCTTAAACAATATTTACTATAGCAAAATTCTAGTATTATAATACTCAGACCCCCATCTCACTCGATGAATTATTTTTTTCTGTCCAGTTTACATTGATTTCTATGTAACTATTGTACTAATTCTTACTCTTCTATATTCTGTCTTTTAATCAGTAATCACAACTTCTCTCTGTATTGCACTTACTCTTCTCTATTCCAATTCACGCATTCTATACGATTATCAAGACTCATATGATAAATCCAATTTAAAATTAATTTGCGTTCTTGGTCATGAAATATTAAATTTTATCACACAGAAATACACTTTGTTATTTTAACTGTTTTAGGGGGGGGGGGCGAGTTAATTCTTTTGATACAGTATGTGTACACGTTTGAAAAAAATGCTATAATCGGGAAAAAATGTGGTAACCTCAGAAAATATTTAACTTTTTGTAAAATAAAAAATATATGTAGTTGGAAATTAGTACGAGACATAATTTCAAAGTTTCCCTACCTGGGAAACATGGGAGAAACTAGTACATTGATGGCTTCCATGTCGGGAATCTATATGGAAACCACTGAGGCATGTTTCCATGGTTTCCTATCTTGGGAAACTTACGGGAAACCACAGGTTGTTTGTTTCCATGTCGGGAATCTACATGGAAACCACTGAGGCATGTTTCCATGGTTTCCTATCTTGGGAAACTTATGGGAAACCACAGGTTGATTGTTTCCATGTCGGGAATCTATGTGGAAACCACTGTGTGGTTTCCATAAAATGGAAACTATATGGAAACTACTGATGTCACGATTCCCATATGTTTCCATCGGGTTTCCAAATTTGGGAAACCTGGCTTTTCATCCTGTGATAGTATTGTTTTAATCTATATACGAAGTTTCATTAATGTATGACGTAGGGTTCCTACAAAACAACGCTTGTCTACGGAATTTTGGGACAACCCTCGTATAAACCAAACCTTTAATAAAAGGTAGTGATAATATAATATGAAGATTTTTTTCATTTCTTTTCCCGAAATTCTAAGTTTTATAAATTTTTTCATAAGATATTTAATAACTATCAATTTTTAATGACATTTTTTCGGTATGATCCCGCCATACAATGAATATTTTATTTAAATAGGGTTAATCTGTGTAGTTACTCATAGATTTTTATTTTATTTTTTGTTGTTTTAACCTATGTAAAATTTTCATTAGTTTATATTACTGGGTTTCTAAAAAACTATGTTTGTCTACGGAAATTTGCGACAAACCTACTATGAAACTGATTTTTTTTAGAAATTGTGGCTTCTTGAATTTCAAGTTCACTGACATACATCTAGTTTACTCCTGCAAGTAACAGCCTCGGTAAACGCCCCTACCTCGCCAATTCAATAGTATCTCACCGTGAACCTCTAGCATGCTGGAGTAATATCGAGTATAGAAATTCATGCTCATCCCTGTCTTTTTTTGGAAAAATATGGTATAAAAGGCAACCGTTAATCACTTGTGACCTTAAATATAATTAGGTATGTACGAAAATTTACAAATAGACCTACCTGCGGTTCCTGAATACCCCGACACAGTGAGTTTGAATTTACTGTCTTCGTCCCCGACATAAAATGTGGAATACTGAGCGTATGCTTCAGCACCATCAAAACTTTGGAGTTCAACCCGGAGTTCCTGGTCCTTGTTCTTTGTCAGCTCATGGATTGGGTCATTTCCTTTAGAAATATGTTTTTAAAAAAATAAATTCCAAATCCTCCTTTAAATTCCGACAGTACATTTAGATAGGCACCCTATAATGTAATACTTATCAAAAAAGGAGTTTTTAGAGGGATAACCCTATCCTTGTTCATATTCTGACAATATATTTAGATAGACAGCGTATAATGTAATTGTTATATAAACTAATCTTACCTATCCAGTAGTTTTTAGAGGGATCTCCAAATCCCTGTTTATACTCTGACCACGTCCTGTAAAAATCTGTAGACCCGTCCTGTCTTTTCTGTATAGCCTTTAACAGATTGAATGATTTTTCATTCGTTTTAAATGTTATGAAGCTTAAGTAATTTAAGACATGTTGATTTTATTTGAAAAACACATATAGATTCTATATTTTGTAAAGGAAAACATCCTAAGGATATCTGATCCTCAGCCAATAAGTATAACTATAAAAATCAATATTTTAATTTGAAATGCATCAAAATGAAGCGTTAAAATGATTTTTTTTCATACAACAATTTTCATTTTATTCATCTTTATAAGATTCAGGGTTTTTTGAAGTCTTAAGAAAAGGTCTTATAAAGCGTGACATTTGTACCCTTTAAAAGAAAAAAAATTACTACAGTTTTAGAGAAATAAGATTTCCTTGAATACAGCTTTAGATGCTTATTAGCTTGATGTGAAGTAAAAATTTATTTGTGGTATCTTGCAATGAGAGCAAAAGTCTTTTACACTATGTATTTTAGAATAAATGAAGGAAATAAAACATAAAGAATACCAAAACAGATTAAAAATCATGACAATTTCTCTGAATGTCTGGATATCTTTCATTTACTAGCCTAAAAGGCTAATTGACATATATCTGTTGATCTATTTGCAATTAGAAAATGCATTGTTGATATTCCAACTCGCTCCTTCTGCAAAAATATTGGAGATTTGACGATTTTCCCTATATAAAATGATTAACTTTAATCTGTAACTTTACAGAATTACAGAGGATAAATGTACATAACTTTGTGGATTCCAAGATACTTTTTGTAAGTATTTTTGATTGCTAACTGCCAATTTTATTAACCTGAGCATCGGACCAGACTGCCTTAAAAAAGTAAGTAATTTTATTTTCTTAGGACACAGAGTAGATTTAATCCCTCCTCCATCAGAACTCATGTCACAGAAAACAGACTTACTTAAGAGGCTCACACTCACCAACCACCCTCGTCCATCTGTACTTATGTCAGAATAAACAGACCTCACTACTGAGGCTTACACTCACAGTCCACCCTACTACATCTGTACTCATGTCACAGTATACAACCTTACTACTGAGGCTCACACTCACCGTCCACTCTCCTCCATCTGTACTCATGTCACAGTAAACAGACCTTCTACTGAGGCTCACACTCACCGTCCACCCTCCTCCATCAGTACACATGTAACAGTAAACAGACCTTACTACTGAGGCTCACACTCACCGTCCACCCTCCTCCATCAGTACACATGTAACAGTAAACAGACCTTCTACTGAGGCTCACACTCACCGTCCACCCTCCTCCATCAGTACACATGTAACAGTAAACAGACCTTACTACTGAGGCTCACACTCACCGTCCACTCTCCTCCATCTGTACTCATGTCACAGTAAACAGACTTTCTACTGAGGCTCACACTCACCGTCCACCCTCCTCCATCAGTACTCATGTCACAGTAGGCAGACCTTACTATACTGGGGATTACACTCACCGTCCACTCGCCTCCATCAGAACTCATGTCACAGTAAACAGACCTTACTACAGAGGCTTACACTCACTGCCCACCCTGCTCCATCTGTACTCATGTCACAGTAAACAAACCTTCTACTGAGGCTCATACTCACCGTCCACCCTCCTCCATCAGTACTCATGTCACAGTATGCAGACCTTACTACTGGGGCTTACACTCACCGTCCACCCGCTTCCATCAGAACTCATATTGCATGTCAGAGTTAACAGATCTTACTACTGAGGGTCACACTCACCGTCCACCCTACTCCATCTGTACTCATGTCACAGTAAACGGACTTTCTACTGAGGCTCACACTCACCGTCCACCCTCCTCCATCAATACTCATGTCACAGTAGGCAGACCTTACTACTGGGGCTTACACTCACCGTCCACCCGCCTCAATCAGAACTCATGTCACAGTAAACAAACCTTACTACAGAGGCTTACACTCATGTCACAGTAAGCAGACTCTACTACTGATGTTCATACTCACCGTCCACCCTCCTCCATCAGTACTCATGTCACAGTAAACAGATTTTACTTCAGAGGCTATTGTTAATTTGTATACTCCATCTCTTCCCTTCAGAATAGGATATTTTCGTAAAATATCCCAGCAACTTTGACAATGAATTGAAAGCACTACAAAAACAAAATGTGTTTAGATTTTAATAGCTATTTATTTCTTTAACAATTCAAAATCAACTAACAGCTGAATGATTCATTGTAAGTTGATTTTATTCTCCTGTTGTCCGACAAAACCAGTAATGAGTCCAAAATATTAGTTAGGAATTATTATATAAATATTGCATGTAGTTGAGTGTAACATTGAAAATTTTCACCCCAAGAAAACCATTGTCAACCGAGGCGCAGCCGACACTCAGCTACATGTAATATTTATTACATTATACTAAATGTTTTATACATACGCAGTAAAGAGTATGTGCATAAATTCTGCGGAGTCGCTATTTTTCGAGGTGACGTAAGTAGGCATCAATAGCTGTTCTATAGCTTAATGGTGGATCCATGTGATCACTACCATTTGCAATTTCTTCTTGATCTTCGCTCTTTAGGACAAGTCAGTAATCTTGTTGTTAATATATGATACCTTAGAAGGCAAGGATCAAATCAGATATAGGTTGCTAATATGTAAACAATAGCACTTTCTAGATTGATTGGAAATATTAAAACGTAATTTTTTATCAGTTCTCTATGAAATATAGTCCTTTGAATATGCATTTATTGAAATCAGAATTTCAGTCACAGAACAAGATCTTCAATGTATTCAATTTAATTTCCAAGCAATAAGTAGTGTTTTTATGGATTTACAAATATTAAGTATAAGTTCCTGAGTGGGAATAAGATATGAAGTATCCCTACGCTCTGAACTATTTTAGCGAGGATAAAATGTAAACAACTGGCTGCAGCAGAGATCGTGAACTACTAGTATATTAATGTGTTTTGAACGTCGATCGCAGGCAAGGGAGAGAACAGAACAGCATACACTAAAAACAGAAGAAAGCGTCCTGCTTGAATTGAAACATGCAATTAAATAAATTTGGGGTTAACATAGAGGCGTCTGAGGCGCAATAGTCCCTATTGAACTCCAAAATTCACCGTGAATTATTACAAAAGCGAAGTTATTTTTGCACTTCACGGTAAATTATCATAAATCTGAAGTTACTTTCACCCCTCTGTTTTTGTTATTCATTTAAAAAATCTATTTAAAACGTAAAATATTGTCCCGATTTTTTAAACTGTTTGGTGCTATCAATATTGAAAAAGGTGAATAACAGCGGGGCATTTGTACCTATTTCGCTGCATGCATGCTAATGACCACTTCATCGAATACTCGGTCGGAACTCCCCTAGAATTTAAGATTCCGCATATGAAAAATTACATTGTTACAAGTTATACACAAGACGTAACATAGCTGAACATCTATCGATGTCATACCGAAGTTAAAATGATTGAATCATGCTGTAAATACATGTAGAGAAGTAGTATAAACCGCCTAGATGGCCGGGTCAACTGAGTGCACTTTTGGGGCTGAGGGGGATAGCCGGGTCAACTGAGTGCAGCCCCTGGGG